GCTGAGCTTTCTGACTGCAGAGGGTGTCAAAAGTCTCCTGGCCCTGCTGGGCATGAAGTTGGCGTGTATGAAGCTTGCTACCCTCTGGGTGAACCTGTCCCTGTTTCTCCCACTCTGCAAAGCATTCAGGGGAGCAAGGGACCAAAGAAACTGGGGTGACCTTGACTTTATACTATTTTACAAAACTAGTCAGCCGTTCCAAAGCTTTGGGCTGTGACCACTGGTGACAGTTTACCTCAACACCCCTCCCTGGTACGCTGGGGACCGAGGCTGAGATCCGCTGGGTTGCTGTATCTCTGGGTGCCACCTGGCCACCACTCTTTGTACCACGCGGGAGCCCAAGGGCTGGCGAGAGTCTGCCAGCCAGCCTTGTCTATGCCACAGCCCATTCTCTCTCAGTGTCACCCTCTCTCCTCATGCTCCTTCCCTCTGCCCCCTCCTGGTTCATTGTCCCTCCTGCAGGTAGCATCCTCTGGTCTCTTTCGTGAATTTTGCCCACCTTGTTAGGCTTCTGCAGGCTCACATGGTTCAGTCTGCTTTGCTTTTCTAGTTTTAGTCTCAAACCTGCCTCTACCAGGCAGCCTTCTTTGCTTAATTCCTTAGTCTGTAACAAACACTTGGTTTAAGCATTTTGCAAATGGGGGTATTTGGTGCCATAGCTGGGGTGAATATCCCCTGGTGGTGAGGACCCTTCTGCGACATTCTAGAAACTTGCTTGCTTGCCCATGACCACCGATCATGAAAATAATAATGATGCTATTTTTTTAAAATGCCATTTATAAAAACATGGTGTCAAGTGCTTTGTATGCAATTTTCTTATTTAACCTTGGTAACACGCATGTGAGGTGGGCACTGTTGCAAATGGGGAAACTGAGGCTGAGAAAACTGGGAGAACTCAGGGAGCTTGCCTATAGCCCTAAAGGAAAAACTGAGCCCTAAGCCTGCCTGGCTCCCAGGTCTGTTTCTGCACCTGGAGACCTGACCCTCCACCCCCTGGTCCTGGCCTCCTGCTCCCTTGTCTGCCTTTTTCACTCTCCCAAGAACTTTCCAGTCTAGCCTCCCTCTGGTTTAATTCACCCTAATGGGCCTGAGGCTGCTGTTCCCAGTCAAAGGTGAGGAAAACGGGGGGGAAGATGCAGGCCCTGGGGGCCCCAAGCAGTGAGGGGGCGGCCAGGACGGCAGCCAGGTCCCCACAGGGCAGGTGACCCACTGCGGCTGGCCCTGTTGCTCACCTAGCTTTGTTAACCAGCTAATCAGCTAACCAGCGAGCCAGACTCACGCCCCCGGGGCTTCCTGCCGACGTCTTGCCCACATACCTGGCCCCGCTTTCCCGGGCTCCTCCCGCCAAGGCCCTGTGGCTGCAGCGCCCAGCCCAGCGCTCCCCTAACTACAATAGCAGCTCCAGCGCCGTATGAGGTGGATGGGGAGCTGTAAAGCCTTTTTAAAAGGGGCAATAAAAGTTTTGGGTTTCAGATGGTCTTACTGGAGAAGAGAGTAACAGACAGGAAATTTCAGTAGCAGACAAAGGCCACAGCGCAGACTGCCCTCAGACGAAAACACCTCCGCTGTGCAAACGGAGGCCGTCCTGGCGGGGGCCCAGGGCTCCCCCTGCCATGCCAACCTCACCCTGGCTGGGTGGGGGAGGCGGAGGGGCCGCTACAATAGACTGTTTTGTCTAGTTGTTGTAAATGTTTATAATACTTCTCCGTTTGGGCTGCCGGAGGTGTGCGGCGCCCTCCCCCCGCCGGGCTCCGAGCCTGTGTGCGGGAGGGGGTGTGTGCTGGGCACGGGCACATGTGTGGCCAGGCCAGGGCATTGGTGGATTCTGCTCCTTGCTCTGCAGGCCCAGGGACCCTATTGCAGGGCCTGTGTGTCCCCCTTCCCTGGTTCAGACAAGATCCACGGGTGAGGCCACCATCCTGCGCCCCCTTCCCCTTCCTGTGTCCCCGGAGTAAGGCCACCACCAGAACTGGGCCCAGCAGCACCTCCGCCTGGGTCACTTCGTTTAACCCAGGGTCCCCAACCCACATGTCCAGGGAGCAGCCCATCCATTTGTTTCCTGCAGCTGTGATGGCTCAGGCGGTGGCCACCGGCCACTGGTGGGGCTGCCCGATGGAATACAGGACGCCGGAGCCATTACATTTCAGGTGCACAGTGATCACTTTGTGGTGTGTCTCAGGCAAGGTTCCCCAAGTATGACACCAGCTTAGGGAAAAACGTGATCTGTTGTTTATCTGAAGTTCAAAGCAACTAGGCATTCTATAATGTATCTGCAACCCTACACGTGTAGCTATTTAAATCTAAATTGGTTAAAAGCAACGCACGTGTAAAGACTCAGCTCCTCCGTTGCACCAGCCACGTTTCCGATGCTCCGGAGCCACGCACAGAGTGGCCGCAGCACTGGATGCCCGAGCACCTTCGTCTCGGTCACAGCCGGCGCTCAGCGCGGCCCTGCTCTGGGCTCTGGAAACGCCGAAGACAGCGTTTCGGGCGCTCACGCACGGAAACCCCAGGACTCAGGGGTCCCCAGGCCCCCATCAAGCCTGGGTGGAGGGAGATCCGATTGTCAGGAGCGTAAGGTGGGTCAGGATGGCCTCAGGAGCCCTTCCTGGCACCAGGTGCCGTGCATCTCAGATTCCAGGGACACAAAGACCCCAGGGCGGGATGACACTGGGATTCAGAGGTGTTTCGGTCTGAAGGCCGTGACACTTCTTCCTGGTTGGCCTTGAGGTATCGAGGTGGCCATTCTGGGTGGCCTCCTCCTTTTCTGGTCCCTCTCCCAGGCACTCCCCTCCTGGCCCTCGGGTAGAGCCCCCACGAAGTCAAAGTGGTCCTTTGAGCCAGACGAACATGCTTTTGGGATGACTGGCCAGGCCCTGGGCACGGCCACCAACTCAGTGGCCAGTGGCCAGGGGAAGGGGGCCAGCTGCCTACATGCTGACCCTCAGTGTCCTCATCTGCAAAGTGGGCTCAGGGGCCCACCCTGGGCCTTTCCGAGGGGTCCCTGTAGGGGCCAGACCTGCCCGGGAGGGGAGGGGCCGGCCTGGAGGCGAGAGGCGGCCGGGCTGAGGGCTGGAGCGCGCCTCCTAATTGTCCATGACTTACAGACTTGGCTGGGCTCCCAGACAGCCTCATAAATCAGCACGGCCACAGTGAGCAGCCTGTTAGCGCGGCCCTTACGCGCTTGGCAGGGCCCTCACCGCCTCCCTGCTTGGGAGCATCCCGCTGCTTCCAACTTTCCATGCGCTGCCACAGAGGTGGGAGCC